AGAGGTACAATGTAATGCTGTAGGCTCAACACAACAGAGGGCAGGCAGCATCTGGGCAAGAAGTGCAAGGGGTGAGAATTTCCTCATAAAAGTTCTCCAGAGAGAGTTTCTCTGATATAATTCTATGAGGATCTGTGTTTTCATAATAGAAGTCATTCCCTGTTGAGATGTGAGCAGCCACATTTTTGTAGAGTTGGCTTTAAGAAATAACTCACAAAAATACTAAGGTAGGTGTAAGACTAATGGCCTTCCTCTACATTTAAAATCACTAAAGAAGTTTAAAAATAGATATTGTTGGGTTAATTATGACCCAATACCTCTTGCAATGTCCACAAAATGCTTATTAAAGACTAAGTAGGTGCCAATGACTAAAAAGTAGGAGGTTCACATAAAAATCAGCATGCTCACCTGGCAACAAACAATCGAACCAAGAAACCACAAGCCTTTTTAAACACCCACCAACCCACCTGTAGCGCACCACAGCCAAGTGCCTTTGGACCCTGTTGAATTGTATCTGGCTTCCTTCACTCATTTCGCTCCCCAATGGTCCCCGAAAGGCATCTGCATTCATGACCTCAGCACCGTCATTAAAGATGTGGTCACCAGGAATGAGGAGCAGCCAGGCATGTGAAGGTCAGTGAAGGCCTGCCTCCACTGTACACTGGATATCAGAACACTTCCTTTCTGTCTCTTTCCTGTGTGGAGCCATCATATAAAGCAGATTTCTTTTCATATTAACTCAAACAGTAGCTACAAGCACATATTGACTAGACCCAAAACTCAAACTGAACACACTGCCAGCAAGTCAATTCTGATTTATAGCAGCCCTGTAGGACAGGGGAGAACTGCTCGTTTCTGAGATAGGAGCTCTTTACAGCAGCGGTTCTCAACCTGTGGGTTGAGACCCCCTTTGGGGGACAAATGACCCTTTCACAGGGGTCGCCCGATTCAAAACAGTAGCAAAATTACAGCGATGAAGTAGCAGTGAAAATAATTTTAGTGTTGGGGGGTCACCACCACATGAAGAACTGCATTTGAGGGTCACGGCATTAGGAAGGCTGAGAACCACTGCTTTACAGGAACAGAAAGCCTCATCTTTCTCCCGAGGAGCATCTGGTGGTTTCAAATGGCTAACCTTAGGGTTAGCAGCTCAATGATTCTATTAGTTATAATATCTTAAGCAGATTGCTTTTAAATTAACTGGGTTCCAAGCTTCCTCATTCATAAAATGAAGGGGTTTGGCGAGAATGACCATTAAGATAATGTTTAACTGGCCACTCCCCAGCTATACCATCTCTACTTAACTATCTAGAATATGCTCACACCTGCAGCGATGTGCAAGTTCCACTGCCTACACTGTTTCCTTTCCTGACTTATTCCTTTGCCTTTCTTAGTTGATTACCTTCACCTCCAGTTAGGTGGTGTTTACTAACCCTCTCACTCTTTTGTTCTCCTTTGAGTATATTGTGCTTCATTTACCTTATCACTTAAGAAATGCCCTTTAAATCAGAGACTATGCAGTTTATTTTTTTAAAGAGTACATATATTTAGTTGGCATTCAATAACTATTCAATTATATATTGACTAGAGATCAAAGAAAACCAAAAGAGTCACTTTTATCCATCCCCTCTGAATTATTCACCTCATGAGCATCACAATTTGACTACTGGCGTAATGTGTATGGTGGTGGGAGAGAGCTAGCAGAGATGTATCTTGTTACGCTGCTATCTTGCACTGTACATGGGATGCCACATAACCTCACACATGCTCACTACTTCCTTCCATAGTCAAAAAACTCAAAAAGGGAAGAAATAAATACAAACAAATGTTAACGAACTACAATATTATGTTGTTACCATTCCGTCCATTCTGACTCATGGCAACTCCAATTATGCGGAGTAGAACTGTTCCATGGGGTTTTCAAGGCTGATTGTGTGTGTGTGTGTGTGTGTGTGTGTGTGTGTAAGCAGATAGCCAGGGTAGGCTTCTGAAGCTCTCTTATCATCCACTACAAGACTACACTGTCCTATAAATAGGGCATAAGAAAAAGTTTCCTACCACAATGAAGAAAGAAAGAGAGGTGACTTGGAAAAGAGCTACAGATCAGACATTTGAAAACTACTGTGAAACCCAGCTTCCCCCTCACCTCCTCTTCTCCCCTTGTCTGGAGGTCATCAATAAGGAGTTCTGAGTAAGTTCTGAGTAAGGAGACCAAGTAAAGATGGCATGTGGGTGGGGATTTACCCACCTGCACGGAAACATCTGTGAGATAAAGGTTTTACTTGCTCTGGACAATCGAAAATCTCACTGTCATTGAGTCAATTCCAACTCATGGTGATCCTAGGGCAAGGTAGAAGTGCCCTTGTGGGTTTCCAGGACTATAATTCTTTGTAAGAGTAGAAAGCCTCAGCTTTCTCTTGAGGAGCAGCTGATGGTTTCAAACTGCCAACCTTATGGTTAGCAGCCCAACACAAAACCCACTATGTTCCTCGCCCACTGTCTCATTATAATGAAGGCTTTAGCTACATACTCAACCATCACAGTCAAGCACACACAAAAGTAAAAGTCATGTATAGAATGCTTTTTGAAACTATCATTCACTTCTATATGAGCTCTTTGAATAACATGGTGTGTTAGTTACCTAGTGCTGCTATAACAGAAATATCCACACTTGGTGGCTTTAATGAAGAGAAATGTATTTTCTCAGAGTTGAGGAGAAGGGAATCTCTCTACAGATCAGCTTTGGGATTAGATCTTTATCTCTGTTCTGTTTCTATTCCTTGATTCATCTCAGAATATCTGACTGGTAGCTTCCCCTTCATTTTTGCTTGCCTGCTTGTTTAATTTGCTCTTTTGTATCTCAAAAGACATTGACTTAGGACACACCCTACACACAGACTCCCTCATTAACATAACAAATAAAACCTATTGCCACTTGGGCTTGTCACCATTGAGCCCAATTCATGCCTAACATGCAACATATGCAACCACTGGCCAAAACTGATACCTAAGTGTTATTGATTTTTTTTGAAAAGCAGGGAGGGGGTATATATAATAGTCTATTTTGACTTTAAAGCAAAATTCTCAGTCCATTTTTGTGATCCTTTAGTTTCTCTATGGAATGGATTTAAGACAATTAACACTCTGTGTTTACCACGGAAGTAAACTAAATTAACAAGTGTTAATCATGTTTTAACAAACTAGCCAATCTAGTGAAATGAAATTACATCACTTTACAAACTGCTCTCTGTGATGCTCCCACCTCTTAATAATACACGTGTTTCCACTTAACCCATTCTCTACGGGAAGCTAATTCATTCTGTCATTCACATCAGACCCATATAATGCTTGACAGTCTGGATCAAGAGGAAGTGTACCTGTAGAATGGGCAAGAGATTCATTTGGGGGCATGGAGGGTGGTGGTGGGGGCGGGGTAGGATAAATCCTGGTGGCAATAGTGTGTTATGTCAGCAGTTGGAAAGCCCCAACCCCTCCGGGAGAAAAATGAAGCTTTCTGATCTACAGCCTCGGAAACCCACAGGGGCAGTTCTCTGTCCTGTGGGGTGCAGTCAGTCAGGTTTGGTTTGTTGGTTGGGGCAAGGGGCTGGGGTCACAGAAAGCATTCACGTGAGCATCCCTGGGAAATCTTGGGAATAGCTTCCTATAATTGAACACCTCCCTCTGTCCCCATCTCTGCCAAACAACCAAGCTTTTATAATCTAACGTAAACAACAGCATCTCAAACATTTTAAATAAACCTATAGTTGCCTTCCAAAAGCAGCGAACCTTGCAATGGTTTGTTTTTACCCCCAGTGAATCCATGCCCTCTGACAGGAAGTCAGTCACTATATTCACATACAGCCTGAAAAGGACTCTTGAGTCTGCTTCCTCCTTTAGTCCTTAGTCCTGCCTACACAGGGAGAGACGTGCGGAATGGTAAGTATGCCAGGCCTCCGCACAGCCCAGACACCCCCACTCTGTGCCATTATCTCATACCCTGGCCTAAAGCTCTAGCTACATTTCCCACATCGCTGTCAAATAAACTGGACAGAACTCAAACAAAAGCAGAACGCGAGGTGTCAATATTTTTTTTCCAACTTAGGTTCCACCGAATCCTCTTCAACCAAGAGTGGTTTTTCCCACAAAAAGGCAACACCTTGACCCACGGCGAACTTCGGAGAAAGAGATTACATTCCTTCAAGGTGACAACTAGGTGTGGCTGGGAATGATCTTGAAGTTCAATTATCCATAATAATCCTATGTCCACCCCATCAAAGGCGTTTAAACTTGAGGGACCTTTTGGAGCTTAAGATGCTCCACACAATAATACCATCTAACATCACTTCTAAGCCTAAGGTCAACCCACTAGTTCCATGTATAAAATGAAATGACACTAAACTTTATGACTTGATTCTCCAGTGATTCCACCAAGTGAAGATGCCGTCTCCTTCTCTAAGCACATTTCAAACTACACCTTCACTGGCATGGCTGTCTGAGGTGGGGGAGGGGATGCCACTGTTATCCCACCACACAATTGACCAGAGGTCTTGCACTCCTCGGGTCACCAGCACCGGAAGTGTTCCCCCAGGCGCCCTTCTCCCCACTTCACAAATATCTCCCAGAGAGAGGGGCTTCGACACCGGGTAACCAGGCTAGACCATCTGAATACCCAGTTATCAGGGGATCCCCAAATCAACCCGGCCAACAGCGGCCAGGGAGCAAAGACGACCAGACGTGACGTCAGATGCGATTAAGTTAGTACGTCACCTCGACGTCAGCTTCTCACTTCTCGGACGTCCCGTCCCAGGAGCAAAACTCCGGCGACTTTGGGCCCCGCCCCCGTGAGAGCCGAAGGCGACCAATGAGAGTGGTTCTAAGTGGACAGCAGCCAATGGAACGATCCCGGGGCGGGGCGCGGGAGCCGGAGGGTGGGGCGGGTGGCGACGGTGGCAGCCGGAGTTCTAGCTTCGCGCAGTATATGACTGTACGTCAGCAGCGGGATGGCTGTAGCTGTGGCGGCGGCTGCAGAAGCCCAAGCAGCCGCGGCCGCAGTGGAGGCTACAGCCCGAGCGGCGTCGGCAGCGGCACCCCAGGGAGTTTAAGATGGCGGCGGGGGGGGCGGCGGGCCTGAGGGAGGAGAAACGCTACGGGCTGTCGTGCGGACGGCTGGGGCAGGACAACATCACTGTACTGCACGTGAAGCTCACCGAGACGGCGATCCGGGCGCTGGAGACTTACCAGAGCCACAAGGTGAGCGCACCGGCCGGTCGAGC